TGATATTTTTCAACTACGCTGCAGGAAATGGTAATAAAGAGAAAAAGTTTTTGGGTGTCTGAATATACGAGTACCTACATGTTTAAAACGAACGCAATGTTGAGTCATTAAAGGAAAGAATTAAAATAGATTATTATTTATTTGTGATGTCATTATTACATAGATTAATACTTTGATCGAGAAAGACTTGAACAAAATATTGAAATAGAGATTCAAACAGAATCACGTTATTATTTAATTATGTTTCTCTTAAACGCATTAAAAACCTTATAAAATCTATTTTTCGTATAAAAAGTGTGCCATGAGTCTATGACTCATGCGTGAATTACATAATATAGAATTTTATATTATTTTTATTTGACATTCAACGGAAGTTAGCAATTATTTATTAAGGTCGTGTAAGTTTTAGAGTAAAACAGAGTAAAATACTGGGTGCATCTTTATTTAACAAAGAAATTGTTTTAATTTGTAATAAAAATGAACGTTTAATATGGGTAATATATTATTATAGTTATATATAATAATACATTTTGTAATTAGTGCAATTTCAATGCCAATAGGCAAATTATTATGTGTGTAATGTGCATATATTATGTAAAATATTTTAATACCATAGTAGTTATTGTATATACAATGACGTAATTTACCGACAAATTGAAACATTCCGCATTTAACAATTGACGGATAATCTAGTAAATAAAATAAAATACAGTAAAAAAAAAATCGTAGGTACCCATATACTGAAGTTAATTGCATATTATTAAGACAGCGTCTTAATCGATGGACGCCGTGACGTATAAGATGGGAAGAATGTACATGAAAAAAAAAACAAACAACCCGAAATACCTCCAATATAATCGAGCGATGTTCCCTGCACGAATAATAACAATAATATGGCAGCTCGTGTCCCGTTATAGTCGAAAAGTAGCTACGCGGTTGTACCTAGGCCTTTATATTATAGCTAACCGAAAGCGTTTTATAAACGTCCATCGGGTCTCGGGCGAGCGTTTTAATAATAAATATAAAACAGACCCGAAAAAAAGAGAAATACGAAACCTATACGCGGGAGGCGGCAACGGTCTAATAGATTTAAGGTGAAAAAACCGACTTTGATATATTTAGGAGCCAAATACTGTAACCGTATACACAGGCACTGACATAATATTGCACACACACACACACATACAAATATATAGATTGTAAAGGAGGAAAAACGAAAAGGAAATTGAAGCAATATATTTTCACGTGAGGGGTTAGCCGCCGGTCGTTTCGTTAATATGGAAATGGACGAGGAGCTATTATTATTGGGTTCGCCGCCGACGCGCCGCCGCCCTTGTTGAATTTTTGAACGCGCGTGCGTTATGATTGATGCGGAGCGAATTATTATTACAGTCGGCGCGCGCGCACTCGTCGCAGACGATATCCAGGTGAAAGCGCATATACGCTTGGAAACGACGCCTCCGACGATGATGACTATCCGCCGCGAAACTGGTGATTTTCAAGTCCCGTGGTTTGCGTGCAAACAAACCGCACCCCGATGCGACGACACAGAGCCATATTGTTAGATACGATTTTTTTGAAAATATTTTTTCAACGATTTCATAATGTAAACGTTGGGGGAACGTTGTGGCGGACGAAATTTTGTTCGGGGCCATTCCGATGTAATGTATGAGTTATGTTGTGTTTCGGGTTAAGCGGATGGAAACATTTTTCTGAACATTAAGCATTAACATTAATCGAGTACCTATACTTGGTTAAATTTGTTTGTCGGCGTGGAAACGAATAACTATATACCTAGGTACTATAATGGTATGTAATCATATGAGGCGTATACGCGATCTGTGCTTGACAAATATTAAATAGGTAAGTTTGTTTGTAAAACAAATATTATTAAAATAAGCAATCAATAAAAAATAATTGATAGACATTCAAAAATAATCATAATTCTTACATGTATAATTAAATTCATCATTGATGGATCATCAGTAATATACTAATATAAAAAGGGTATATTAGAGTAATAAGAAATAAGTTATTACTATTTAACTATACATAAAGAATAGTTATGATGTGAATAAAAGGAAAACATAAAAAATAATCAAAATTGCTCGAGTATCGTATAACTGTACAATATTAATGTAAATCAGTTGTTTGCGTTGCAATGTTAAGAATTGAATAATTTAAAATATTTTAGTTATTTATCTTCCGCGAGTCCGGCGTATTTTATCGGGTAAATCGTTAGAAAACATATTATTATATTTGCTTAGCAGTGAGTTATTACTAGTATTTTACTTACTTAATAAAATATAATACATTTATTGTAATTTTCAATTCTGTCAATATAATCTTAAATATTCGTACCATTTTATAACTACCATTTCTCTAACACTCATCAAAATATGTACTTCAAATTCTGAGCAAGTATAATAATATGTTTTCTAACGATTTACTCGATAAAAAATTACTACCGGGCTCGTGCAAGACAAATAACTCAAGTATTTTAAATTATTCAATTCTTAACAACACAAACAACAACTGATTTACATTAATATTGTAACGATACACGCGGTTTTGATTATTTTATTTTTTATGTTTTCCGTTTATTTACATAACTATTCTCCATTTAATTACACGTTGTTCACATCATGAACTATAAAATATACATGTGTACTATCGCGTTTTCAACCGATGTGTGCAACGAAATTGTCTGTTTTACAATAGCAGTTGCAGCACGTGCAATAGTTCTTTGAATCGGTGTGCTCGGATTGAAGATGAGTGTACAAAACTACAAAATAAGGTAGGGAAAATAAAATACCCGTCTAGGACCAGTCTGGGGGGTACCGGCTTTAATGCAGTTGTGTAAAAAAACGTGACCAGACTGCAAGAACGAGTAGGAAATTGTCAACAAAATGCGCATACATGAATGGGAATTATATTGTTGCAGGGAGGAAAAAAAGAAAGAATTGTCCGTTTACAAGAATTTATTGAAGAATTTCCTAGTCTGGTTAAGAAACTGTTTTTGTTCGACGTGGTCCAGTAACGATTTTATTTTACATTATATAGTTCTTGTTAATTATCATATTTTCCGTATACCTACGTATACCTACGTATTATTATAATAATTTATCATCGCTTCTTTTCCATCTTTTTTATTTCCGACTCAAAGAAATACATCAAACCCGAAATAAGTATTTTTATGAATATAACTCTAACTACTCCCACCAGAATAATAACATTAATTATTCTTTCGCTGTTACTCGCAATATACCATACATTTGCATATCTGATAATCAAGAGCAGCAACATTCATGTAGATACCTAGTAGGCACTTACTCGTTTCCGATATTGAATTTCTGCATGCAAAAAAACTACGCTATCTGAATCGTAATCTTATTCGGAATAAAAACAACGTGTGCATTTACGCGTTTTTATGTACATTATACTACATACACATTTATTACTAGGAATAAAATCGCATAGAACTTTATATCCATATAAAAAGAAGTAATTTAAAATTAAATTAGATTTACGCTTGTCTGTATAAGACATGATTAATGAGAACGAGCCAGTTCAGGTTTCAGTTATTTCAACAGTAGTGCAAGTCATTTTACATTTTTATCTTATTGGATTTATATAATATAATTCAAAGATACATAACAAAAACACTAATTTTGTAATTTTTGATTTACATAGGTACCCCTGTGGTATAGGCAGTCCGATACATATTCGTTTCATTAAAATATTCCGTAACATGCATTTTGGACGATTTAAATTAGCCGAGTACAATAAAATCACTAGTATTCTGGTTTCGGTTCATTACTTTAATACGGGGAAGCCGGAAAGAAAGCAGACGAACCACCACCTCCCGAGAAGTTCGTGACATACCGAAACCATTAACTCGTGCTCAATGCTGGACCGTTTCGGTTTAATAACGCAATTTGTCTTATACGGAAGATCACGATAATCTAATTAGATCAACATAAATATAGGTATATGTTTTTACGATTTGGGATACTAGAAATGACCGATTGTTAAAATTTCGAAAGACAACAAAAATATCGACCACGGTTCTTAACGAGAGTAGAAAATATATCGGTTTTATTGAACAAAATTATTAAGACGGAGAGTGAAAGTAACATATTATAACATTATAATACACAACCGTTTATTGCTAATAATGAGCGTGAAATTCGGAGCCTAAAAATGTTTCAATTTTTTGTTTTGTTTTTTATTTTTAATTCCGTACCACAATGCCAAATTCCATTGTCAAATATCATTCGGTCGTCTATCACGATTCGTCGTCTGCGGTCCAGTCGAAAACAATACACGAAGCTACTACTTCATTATTTCATTATTTTTTTTTTATTTTTTTATTATTTTTTTTATTCCATAGACCTCTAATAGACTCTCATTAATCTGTGCCGTGTTTCCCACGGAGTTAATCCTTTTACTTGTACCGATTCTCCAGTAAAAAAAAAAGAAAAAATCGGCACCAAACACTCTTATAATAATATTCTTACACAATGCATACACCAACGTTTATTATATTATATACATATAATAAAAACAATATTATATTATATCTAGACACAATACACTAACCTGGGCCAACGTTTTACAGGTAGTCGCTAGAAGGGTGGTGGTGGCGGTGGTGGTGCGTTGGCGCCAGTTTTCTGCACCCGAGAGCTATCATTTTTACCTCGAGCAAACACGTTTTAGAAGCAGTATACTCTAAGATGAGGCCTAATAGCCGTAAAAATATCTTTGATATTTTTCGACCGCAACGGTAATAAAAATGCCAAGGTCACCGCCGATGGTACAAGAACACAGACATAATTATGTTTGGCGAAATGAAAAAAATAAAAAGGAGGGAACTATAAACACCGCTGCAGTGATGCACAGTGTACATTCTACGTCATGTATTGTTGTATGATATAATGCAGATATGACATGTATATGCTTGTGTATGAAAAATGAAAATATAGAATTTTAAAACTCACCATCTCGACAGTAGAATTTGTGTTCGAGGTTCATCAGTCGGTCTGAAGTGTCTAAAAAAGAAAAAAAAGAAATGAAACATAATATTATAATATTAAAGAAATAAAAATATATATTATAATAACACTATAATATTAAACGTTGTATACACGCAGACCAGATTTCACACACTATTTTAAAGAGAAACTATGCAAACGAGAAAACAAGGTGAACGACAGTTTCACAGAATAAAATATAATATACATACAACTAATACCGTGTATATTATATGATATACCGATTAAATGTTTTAATTCTGTCTCGTACTTAATATTTCGGTAGGTATTTGAGTCATTCGTATACAGGTAATAGTCATCCGGTATTCACGAGATGAATCAAATGTGTTGACGTCACCATATAATATGTTTAACCCATTAAATCATGCACCTACCTATACGTGTTATCATATTATATTATTCAACACAGACATAAAATAATTATTTTATAGGTATTATGGTACCTATGGAATTTTGTTAAATTAAAATATTTTAACTATTTTGTTTGAATTTTTTATATCTATTGGGTACCTATTGAATATTTAATTTCCTGAACGGTTATCGGAATCATATTTTCGAAGTTATAATAAAGTATAAGGAGGGCAAAAAAATAAAACCGCAACAACTGACCATTACAGCATTATAGACTTTTACTTATCTAGTTTATAAGAGTGGGGAAGATTAATAATCATGCACAGAGTCGTGTGTGTGTCATTAGCGGGGTCCCAAAGTTTGAGGGGAGGTGGGGAGAGAATCGAAAGGCACACACTCGTTCGGTCTAATGATATTTTAATGAGAAACAGAATGGGTTTGAAGCATATATATGTAAAGAATATTTCGTCGTTAAGCAATACGATATTATTTCTTTACCTCTCTTTCTTTCGGGTTCTTTTTTTTTTTAATAACGCATGATTCAGCCCCGCGTGTCAGCCATGAATAACTAATGGCCTTCTCTCTAAACACTTTTTCATTCTTCCGGGGCTACCGCGGTTGTTATTATTATTATCAACTATTATTATTAAAATACAATTTTCGTCTATTCTAATTACGCGCCGGTTTCCATATATTATATCCACAGACGCTTTTATACACAATTAAGACCAAGGATTTCTTTCGGACCCTTTCTATCTCGCCGCTAATGAATTCCTAACGCTCGGTATAATAGTGTGTGTTTTTTTTTTGTCCATCTTAATGCTTTTTTTTTTACATATCAGACCGCCGCCGTCGTCAACGTACATGTATAAATATATTATATACAATAATAATATATTATATACACGCATGAGCTACCGGGTGGCACCGAAATTCGCAGCAATAAATTCCACTACAGAGACCTTGACTTCATTTCGAGACTCCCTAGACATATCCATACAATAATCGCTTTTGTCTCTATCCCGGGCCCGGTAATACTTCTCTCGGTAGGATCTCGTTTATTGTTGTGGTTTTCGTCACTATGTGTGTCAAGCATTCGAACTCGAATTCACTTTTCGAACGCTGAAAGCGTCCCGCTGGCCCTATAAATCCTATAGTCACGTTCAAGGGAATACACACATCATATTATGTGAATATAATAAGGTAAGGCGCGCACTATCTATGTATGTTTAATGAGTTACAACTATATATTCAAATACAATGGAAAAATAGAGGTTACACAAACATCACAAATATTTGATAAAAATAATGATATCATCGAATCGCGAGCGTAGTAGGTTTATGGGTACATATTCAATATTATATAAATATAAGTTGAATGTCGAGGAAAAAACACCGAGGTAACAAATTTCGCACGTACCTATAATATAAAGTGTGTAGGTAATATATTGTGATATAGTTGGTTTTGCAGGCGTATCGGGTGGGATATGATACGAGTATATGTAATAATAATATATAAGTAGTGTTATATTCGCGATAGAGATAATAATAATATTATTACACGGTGAGCCGTCTATAGATATTATTATTCTTAGGACTAATTTTACTCGTGGCGAGCATGTATAGAAAAATAATGACACCGATGGTCAACTACAGTGGCGGCGGGAAAGTAATAGCGTTTGATGTTGGTGCATACCTATATATTATACACCTTCATACATACATAATACTATAACCACCGACACTTAATTTCGTTTTCAGGCCGCGCGTATATTACCTAGACATACACACAAAACCGTTTAGCAGTCGGTCGTATACCGGCTATTATTGTACGAAATAGGCGTAGTACAGATTTTGAAATTTGTAAAAGTGAGGAACTCTAGACGCGCGCGGAGAAGAAGCGTTTATAATATATAATATTTTTACTCTTTCGTTTTGATTGAGCGCACCTGTCTCGGCGGTCGCGCGAGCGTACGTACCGATATATATAAATATATATATATAGGTATGTATTATACACTGCACACATAGTACATCTATGTATAATAATAGTACTGTAGGCACTACACATTATAGCTCTAGTCTCGTCGTCGTCGGTATATCATATTATTATTATTATTATTATCATATATTATATCGAGTGCGCACGCGGTCAGTAATGAAGACGTAGACGTCGTCGGGCCGCGAACCGATTTACATGCAACGCGGCGGCATCATCGGTCGCCGTCGTAACACTCTTAACGTATTATGGGTATATTATATCATATAGGTACCTATACTGAAAAATAAAATAAAAAACATTCCTAGGTGCCGGTCGCCGGCCTCGGGGGCCCAGCCAATCTTCCCGCCGCCGCCACCGCCAGATCGTGTGGTTATTTTTTAAATATATTACGGTTGCTGTACGCGCATATAATGTGCGTATATTATACCCATGTATATTTATTTTTTCCTTTCCACTCTTTATACGCGTTTGACAAACGACCACCAAACGTATATCTACGACGATGATGCTTTACACATTGCGGCGGCGGCGGCGGTGATTAATCCCTTGCGCGATAATTGGACAAATTGAAACGGTGCGCCGCCGCCGCGGGTAACTTGTTCACACCGTGTCGTCTCGCAGTACATGCGTGTTGCCGCCCGAGGAAGTATACTTTTTTATTATTATTATTATTATTATTATTATGCGCGGTAGTTGGGCGCTCACACATAGACGTATATCTACACAATATTATTATTATAATATATTACTTAATACTTACCTATATCCTACCGTTGCAGTGCCGTACTATAATACACATAGTGAGTATGTGAGTGTGTGTGTTTAGTGGCGGGACGGACGAGCACGTTGGCAATTATTATTATTATTAACAGAAGACGACCGGTGCGCGGTGGGGCAGGTGCGGAAACGACGGGGGCGACGAGTCCGCGCGAGACCACGACTGTCGTCATGTATAGGTATAATAATATTATTATATAACATCATATTATAAGGATAGTATAGTCGATAGTAGACGCGTGAACATATACATACAGAGTGGTGGCGACGGCCACCCGACGATACTCCGCGATTGTAGGTGGAGGTACACCCGCATCTCGTACTAGAGAGTTGAAACGTTTTTATTCTTTTATACGCTTAATTTTTTTTTCCGCTCAACTCGGATCGCCTTTCGACCCCAGTGTTCAAATCCCATAATATAATATTTTGTTTACCCACGCGCGTCGTTTGCAGTAGGTACGTATTTCAAAACTGTCGGACGAGACTACCCAGAGATAAACACCCGAGCCACCAAACCAAAAACTATGGTGCTCGTACTTCAACCTGTACTATCTATACGTTTTATTATTATTGTTTGACATTGATTACGCTAATTACAAGGACTTTCTAAATAATGTTTTATTCACGAATAATTATAATTATTTTGCAACAATGCAAATTGAAACAACAACGAGATTCTTTTCAATAGCTTATGGATGCTATTTTATTAATAATTTATGACTAAAATATATCAACGCTTTTTATACTCATAGCACATGGCAAAAAGTATTAAATATTAAATTACAAGTAAACGGTAAATATTAATTTGCAGTATTTCTAGTTCGACGTGAATGTTTGTAAGTTATAAATTATTATCAACTAATTTTAAAAGATTTAAATACCAAATTTGATTTTTTTCTTTGTACAGATTTCTCTCCTTAGTTTTCTTTTGTGTCACGACATCAATCTGAATACATACATTATAATATAATAATAATGGAATTGAGAAAAAACCGCATGTGGAATGATATTATTGTCCATGTCGGCCATTGGTCGAGACACCAATAAAGAACGCATTTTACTAACAAAAGAATAATTACCCGAAACGGATTACATATATCGCCGGCATTCTTGCACGAGTCACACAATCGATGACAAATAATATTCTTAATGCATTTTTATTTTTTCTGTGTTGCTCTTTCTAAGACGTTCGTCTTCTTATATATACTGTATTCATTATTGATAACTACGAAGGCCTTACACACGTGTAGTATGATGTGAGTATGTGTGTGTGTGCGTGTATGTATGAAAGGAGAAGCTAATTCCGAACTAACAAATTGTGCCGAGTCATTACCGGAGTAGAAATAATACGTTTTAGCTTCTGGGCTTTTAACTGGGCACTTCTTTTTTCTTATATATAATAATAACGTATTCATAATGTGGACGCCGGCCGTCTCTCGCTCTTTCTCAGTACATTTAATTTATTTCTTTTTATTTCCCATTATTTTACTAGGTTTTTTCCCATTCTTATACACATACCACCCTTCTGTCTCCTGTACGACCGAGTGCGAGTCCAATTTAGATTTTTCGGAAAAGTGACTTTAACGCCCCAGGCTTTGTCGTGAGAACGAAACAATACCGACACAGTCATTCGGCGAAACCGTATATGTATATTTATACAGCGATATTTATCTCTGAATACGATTGTATAAGGTTGTATTAAAATACACATAATATATTTTAACATCTTCTGACTAAAATCTGATAGCAAACCTGTTAAATTGACGTATCAACAGGTGGTATACAAATATTATGTGAATGCATTTAAACGTCGTGGGCCCGGGGTGCAATCTACAGGGATCTTGGGAGAAGAGGCGCCACCGATTTT